ACCATTATTGTCAAAGGCACTGCTAGTCATTACATTTAGAGAAAACAGTTTCCAAAACAAAAACACACTGAACATTAATAGCATCAGGAAGATATTTATTGAACAAAACTCAGCAAAAAAGTGTAAGCGCAACATATTGAGCTCACCATGGAGAGGAATACCAGTTCAAACTGCATGAGTAACCAAAAAGTACATGGAACGGCAATGTTGAAATCATATACTAATAATGAATTAAAGAAGCATTAAAACCACTCGTTTAATTCCTTTCTGTGAACAGACACTAGATATTGATATGTGATAAAGTGCCTGTTTAACCAGAAGCATGGAAGTCCTTAGTGATATACCTTTCAGGAGAGAAAAAGATAGGTTGAGGATCATCATCTAGAGAAGACTGCATGTCACGTCTTGAAAGCTTACTGGAAATTAGACCAGCTTCTGCCAAACCTGAAATGCCTCACACATTCAGGATTCAATGATAAGCTGTTAAAACTCAAAAATCAGCATATGCTCCTACCTTGAATAGATTGAAAATCTGGGTCTTCAGCTGTAATGTCATCAAATGCAAGTTCTGTGACATTTTCTATATACATTGCAGGGTAGACCTTTGAAACTGTACTCCTACAGGAAATTGAAGTTAACTCTAGAATCATCCAAGTCATTTGAAGTGTATGCATATTGAAGGAAATGCTAAACTTGGCATATTTTCCACTTGAAGTGGCAAAGGAAGTTCCTCAGTCCATATAAACATGCATTTTGTTTGATCATGCACTGGATAAATGTAGTATGCTAATGTATCTCAACAATTCTTTTATCGATGGTAGAATGAGTCTATGTTTGTTTTTTGGGCAAGTAGGAGATTTTGTACCTGGACAAGGCACTGCTGGCTGAAAGCAACCATCGAGCATATTCTCGACGAGTACAAAGATCTCCTGGTTGAACATCAGCCTCAATAACCTAATCAATTTCAAATCAAAAACTTTCCATTAAAGTAAAAAACCTTGTAATACAATTGTAAAGTCATATAACACAAACTCTTGTAAAGATCACTCAACAAATTTTAAACATCTGGTGGCCTTCATAACTGCCAATATTGCACTTTAATTTTCCCACTTAAGGTGGCTAGAATAGCCTCAGGCATATACCATGGAAATGAGCTTATAATTGAAGCAAAATATAGGTGCTCTTCTATTTGTAGACCGTAAGAACAACACACCAGATGACATTTTTCTTTAAAACTCTCTCTTGCATTTGAAGTTTTAATCTGTTGATTGCTCAACCAAATACATGAAAAAGTTAAACGGCATCCCTTGTCAACTTAAGATATGCCCGTCAATAAACAGCTTACTTTGCCCATTCAAGTTTATACTTGTTTATTAGTTATAAATTTCAGAAAACTTGAGAAAATATAGGTATACTGGAGTTTACCAAACAAATTTTAAAGAGCGAGAGAGAAAAAATTTACCTCAAGTTATGAAATTAGACAATTAATTATCTTGCCACAGAAGTAAATTTAACAGAAGAATGTAACCAAAGTACCTTTAAAGCTTGCAATGCAGCTAATGCCTGACCTTGAACTTGATCAACAGCAGCAGGAACCAAAACTTTCCCAGGAGCTTCCTTCAGAGATGTTGAGACAACTATTGGAGCAGGTATGCCAGCAGAAGTAAAGGTGATTCCAAGACCATTCAACTCGATAGATGATTTGGTTTCAGTATTATTTTGATAGATATTGCCAAGTTGTTCATTGGAGAAAGGATAGGACACATCCGAAATCAATGCTGCGGATGATTCAGTTACAGTCACATCATGCAATGCCAGAGATGACTTCTCTCCACCAGCTGAAATCTCCTTTGTTTTTTCCAGGCCAACATCTTGGTATGCAGGTGAACTTCTAGTTTCCCCACCCATATCGTGCATAATCTTGGTCTCTGAAACTCCCTCAAGTTGTGAATCCAGAGAGGCACCTAAGGTGGTGTATCCATCTTGAGATAATTCAGACGAAGAGTTTGAATTTTCAATTTCTTTCTCGGAAGAGTTGGTAATTGACTTTTCTCCTTCAGGTTGAAGTTCACTGGGTGGCTTTGGTTTCTCAGTCACAGGATTAACACTGTCACTCTCAGAACCTAAGGTGGCAAAAGATCCACCAGAGATCTTGGTCTCTGGTGGATTAGGCAAGTCTTCAGAAGCAACTGATGTAACATTAATGGATGATTCATTTTGTAAATCTGGTTGAACGGGCATCTTATTAGCAAAAGCACCATTACTTGATGGCTCACCCACATTAGTATCATAACCATCTTTGTTTTCAGTAACTTCAGTTTTTCCACTACTTGAAAAGACATTCTTGTCTACACTTGTCATGCTTTCTTGACTGCTAGCATCTACAGTCTCATTCTTGCTGTCATTTGTATCTTCTTCATTGTCATCATTGTGATTATCAGATGCCAATGACACTTCTTGCTGGGTTGTTGTTAGGGGCTCCATCTGTGGTTTAACTCCTACATACATCAAAATATGCATTGTCTATTCAAATGTCCAACTAATATACAAGAACAAACATCTAAACCAGAAAAAAAAAAACCCATACAATCGAATAAGCAGCGGGTGCAGGATTACTATTTTCAGTTGCTTTATCTACATAGTTACATCTTCAACAAAGAACAGAGGTGTACAAGTATCACCGTTAGCTCCAACCAAAAGGAAAGACACGGCAATGCCTATAAACATTTAGGATTTTTCATTTTGGCACTGCTTACACTAATCCAAGGAAACTTCCTGAAACCACAATTGATTTATTCTTGTGCATCCTAAACCTTGACAAATTTCTTTTGGCAGTGAAGGTCAGAGCAAACAAATTCCTGGAAAGGCAACACCAAGCCCGTCCGCTATTTACTTCCCAGTTTCGATTGACCATAAGACAGATCAACAAGAAAGTGACAGCTGAAAAAGTAAACCTACCAGAAGTGTTTCGCTTGCCCATGGACAATGCGGCGAAGGTGAGACCAGCCACAATAACAACCCCAGCCACCCCTGCTCCCACAATTCCTGAAAACGAACTACTTCAAAAGTGTTATTTTATTAGTCTACAACTGCTTGCAAACCCAAAAACATCAGAATTAGGAAATCACCAATACAAATGCTTCAACCTTGTAACACCCACAGTACAACAACACGCTAGCAGCCAGACAAATTTAAATGTAATTATATATAGATACAATCTGATGTTGAAAGTAATCACCTTTAAGGGAGTGCTTGGGATGAGAGTCTTGTGATTGTTCACCATCGGTCCAGCCAGCGAAGCCGTCGGCTGTTGAATTCGGATTAACTGCCCAAGAATCTCCAGAACGACCACGTTCGGCTTTCTTATTATTATGGTTCCTAGCTGCTGAAGCGTCGGCAAAAACTGAAAACATCCGAACTCGGCGATCAAGCTTCAGTATTCGGGTCCTGAAAAAGGGCACGGACGGAGGAGACTTTCGGGTGGTGAACGCTAATCGGAGCTGAAAGGAGGTCGGAGACCATTTCGTCGTCGTTTTAGTGGGCAGAGAAGACATTATTATTGTAACCATGGGTAACTCAAAGTAGCAGACCCGTTAAGGGAACTTGAAAATGAAAGGAAATAGAAAGGATCGACTGATTGTTGTTTGAAGCAGAAGAGGTGAGAAATTTTAGGGTGGTTGTCAGAAAATAATAGGCTCCGTTTTCTGCTCTTTTCGTTTTGCTCTACCGCTTTCCCGACCCTAAAAATTCTCTCTAAAATTAGAGTCAGGTCTGTCTATACTCTATACACATACATACAGGATGCCTACTGCGTCTGTCACAATGAATCATCTTCTCCATTTTTATTTTATTAATCTAATCTGTTTCTAAACTTCAAGAAAGATAAACTAAAGGTCGACGACTAAAAACTAACCTGCCATCTTGCAACTAAAGTTAACTACTGTTTCCTCACGCTAGAATAAGTGCTAGTGTAACGGTAACTGGGACACAACCGAGTTACCGGATATAATCACATACCTAGTAGTATTTTTACGGACATCACTTCAGCACAGAAATAATTCTTTTGTCTGTTGTGGTAGAAATTTAATTTGAACCATAAGATGGACTTGTGTGCAATATAGCCGTTGGATCCTACTTAGAAGAAGTGGCACGATTTCAGATGTAGTGGTTGGATACCGGTTGTAGAAGTAAAAGCTTTCATTTGACCAACTAAAAAAATGATAAATTGTTTAAAGGGTAAAAAATGAATTTAACATATATAAAGACACATATAGGGCTGCCCAACCCGACACCATTTGTCTTATGAAGAATCTAATGCTTGCCGACAAACATACAAGAGTGTTGTGATAATGGTGCGGCGGGTGAGACAATCCAACACCATCTGCTTGAGTTCATCCAGCGAAAGAGGTTGCGGAGAAAACTATCCATCAGGCAAGCATAAGGACGTGGACAGCAGCAGTAGTAGAGAGATGGAAATCCAAGAGGAAGCTAAAAATTATGAGGAGGTGGAGGATCTACTCAACTATTTTGAAAGATGCACATCTGAGATAAAGGAAAGTCAGAAACAACTTTTGGACGTTGTAATGGGTTTATCCGAGTCCCTAAATCATCTAGAGTCTGGGATAATGAAGGAGCTGAGAAGAATTAGTGTGGGCTACTGTGATGGATGTCATATGAAGGCCATTCAATGTAAAGCAGAGGATGCTGAGCGAAAAGTGAGCAGGAAATCAAAAATGGGATATGATTTCACTATGTTGAAAAAAAATAATCACATTCCTAGCACACCAGCACAATCCATGAAACAAATGATGGTTAAGAGTAGGGGAAGAAGAGAGAGTCGTATGGTTATCGGCGTTAAAAATGGTAACAATTTTGGTGACTTTATAGCCTCCCCAACTAAAGAGTACAACTCTCGGAAGACAAAGTGGAGCACTGTTGGTCTTCAGGAGAAAGATCTCAAAAAAAAATGAACCCAGAAGAAAGATCTCAAAAAAATCACCTAAAATTGGTGAGCCAGATTCTGAGATGTCATCTAACTTGACAAACGAATACAAAGTCAAGAAGCAAACACCTAGCAGGGCACATGAAAGAAAACCCAAAGGACTAGCAGGAAGGGTATCAGTATATACCCAAAGAAGGAACGAAGCACGGAGAAGAGCAGAAGGAGCTTTAGAGGTGAGAAACTTGATATTGAATAATGTGAATTAAATTGCTCATCCTTTAACCTCTGTTTTTGTATAGCAAACTTGATATAGTAAAATGAGGCACTAATATGCAAAATTTAACCTTTGTTTTGAGTTTTCTAGACAATAAGGAGAGAGGGAGTTGATAATTGCAAAACTGCTAGTGCTGTGGTTCATGATTTTCTCATGAATATGACATTGCCGCTGGAGTAAGTGAAAGTGTTCCTAAAATTATATTTAGAAACACATTGCCCGTATGGTGTTGATAAGCAAACATAGATATCTGACTGAAAAAACACGTGCAGGCAAGCCGTCGTTACAATTAGAGGCCAGGTAGCTAACAGAGAGCATATTCTTTGTCTATTGCCTTGTATGGGTGTCGAAGCTGAGGTAAATCTCACATAATTAAGTATTTTTATCACAAAACATTAATTTTGAAAACTTAGTATACTGACATTGTGTTCTTGTAGATTGTTAACTGTTACTCTGCATTGCTCACGGCACGTGCAAGGAGAAATTCTGGGAATGCATCATATCGCGTGTGGTACATGCCGAGTTGGTCAGCGGTAAGTCTGTTAGGAACATAAATTGAGCTGAAGGATCATTTCCATAAGGTTCATTGCTTGGTAGGAGGAGTCAGCAACAGTCACTGATTTTGGATTTGGGCTAATATTTGCAATTATTTGTTGAAGGAAATGGTGACAAAAAATGAGATGACACTAGATGAGCTGTATATCTATTACCTAACTGAGAACAAATTTGGTGGCTTGATTATGGAGTGTGAGAAGGTAAATAGTCTCATTAGTTATTAATGAATGGGATGTATTAAAAAATATGGAATTAGTAATTTCATTCGTTATTGATATCTGCAGATTTGTATACCACTGAATTGGGATGGAAAACACTGGTATTTGGCAGTCATTTACATGAAAGAGAATAAGGTTATGATATTCGACCCATTCCCTGATGAAGATTTCAATGAATTGCGGTTGATGAATGCAAAGGTGGTGGTAAGAAATGAAAACTCTTGCATGATATATGTCATGAATGCATGATATTTGATGTGTGTAGAATGAAGAGTTTGAATTGCTTTGAAGCTACTGGTATTGTCATCTTTTGTAGTGTTCAAAAATTAGTGGTGCACTATATACGGGATATGGGGAAAATTTCAGTTATGACTTCAACGACTTTGAATACTTGAGTCCCAGTTGGTGCCCAAGGCAAATCAACAAGTAATTTGTCTATGTTTATGTCTAGTAGAATAGCTTGAGACCTGATTTTTCAATATGTGAATTGTTATATAACCTTTTTTGGCTGCACACGAACAAAATAGGTGGGACTCTGCTATGTTCGTGATGAAATACATGGAAGTATGCGATGAAATGGAGGATGTGATCAAAATTGAGGTAGGTAGTTCACTCATTCATTAACTATGTCCAATTTTCATGTGTGTGCATTTGATTTTTGTTTATATGGGATTTCTGGCTTTGCCTCAACTCAGATAATATCCAATCAAGCTAGGAGAAGCCGAGCAATTGAACTATTTGTGGATGCATCCAACGAAGCCAGACAAACCTGTGTTGATGAATTTGAAGGCCTTCAAGAGATATTCCAACCAGTGCATCCCAACTAGCTTCAAGAGAATTTTTGTGAAGTTCAATTGGTTGGGAGTCATCTCCTTCTTTGAATAGGACTGCTAGTGGGAGTTGAATTCATGAGATTACTGTGCTTCTGTAAGGTTGATGGTTTCCTGAGAGATATAATATTGTGGCATTGATGCTACTTCTTCTGTCTTTGCTGTATCATCTGTACTGAGCGATGATTTTCTAAGTTCTGTGTGTTTTGAGCTTTTCTTTTGTACCTATCACCAACCAAGTGGTGAATTTATTGTCAGCGTAGCAGTGGCATTAAAATTCTTGACCTGGTTTTGTATGTTTAGTTCTTTTGTCAATTGGTTGCGCTTTCTGCTTTTTGTGGAAGATGTTATACTGTCTATTTGATGAAGCAGAGTCAGTTTTTTGTTTTTCCAATATTGTAAACTTGAAGAGTGACGCTTGGTTTTTGCTTGAACATTTTCTTGAGGTTTTGAGAAATTTTTGGATACTCAGCACTTGATTTTGTCTTTATTGCCAGATATATGACATTTTTCAGCTTCTACCTGCCAAAGTTCAAGTAGGAGTTTTCTCTGCTACCATGCCACCTGAAGCCCTTGAAATCACTAGAAAGTTTATGAATAAGCCGGTCAGGATTTTGGTTAAGCGTGATGAATTAACTCTCGAGGGAATTAAACAGTTTTATGTGAATGTTGAAAAGGAAGAGTGGAAGCTTGAAACTTTATGTGATCTCTATGAGACTCTAGCCATCACCCAGAGTGTGATTTTCGTGAATACTCGACGCAAAGTTAACTGGCTTACTGACCAAATGAGAGGCCGTGACCACACAGTCTCAGCTACGCATGGAGACATGGATCAGAATACCCGGGATATAATAATGCGCGAATTTCGCTCTGGTTCTTCTCGTATTCTCGTATTATCATATTCCACATGGACAACCACTATCATCTTTTGTTATGTTCATACTCTAGTGAATTGGATAAGACCGAATTGGATGTCTAATGCGACTCTCCTGATGGTTACCCACAATGGCATAAATGCAAGTGCACCTGCAATCCTGGAGACCATTAAAGTCTATATATAGCGTTGTTGTGCCTAAATCTCACACAGCATTCCAACTTGTATAGTGTACTCAAAAAAAGATAATGGCCAGTAGCTCTTCAAATTCAGCAGCATCATTTGCAAAATATCCAGACCGCTTATGCGAGTGCAAAAATGGTTTCTGTCGAATTATGGTGGTCGGCAAGTCAGAGGCAAATCGAGGGAGGCACTACTATGTATGCCCGAGTGAAGTGGTAAGATCAATCTTGCTGGAAAAAGATGTTATAGAAAATTAATCTTAAAAAATCATCTTCCTTTTTTCTCATATTGACTAAGTTCAGCTATCCAGCGCTCCCGACCATGGATAGGATGGTGTGATGAATATGCAAATGCCCTTGACACGGTGAAATCCGGCGGTCACCTTGCTGCACCGACAGTTGACGAATTGCAGGGCCGAATTCTGGATGAAGTCATGCAAACAAGAGCTGAAATAATGAAGATTAGAGCAATGATGAAGGAAGTAGTTGCTTCACAAACTATGGTGAAGTATGTAATGTTTCTAGTTATGTGTCTATGCCTTATTTTGTTAGCTAAGGTGTAGGATATGGATTCTGATCATCTGCAAGACCAGTTGTTGGGTAATTTTTTGGTACAAAAGCTTCAAATAGCTATTATCGATGTTTCTGGTTCTTTAGAATAGCTTTATGTCGTTGATCTGCTACAAGACCATCTTTTATCAGCTTTTCCTGTAATGCTTAGAAAGTATGGGATGCTTTGCCTTGACCTTAATCTTTTATCTTGGGTTTGTTGTAATGCTTAAAAGGTTTAAAGTTGATTTACAACAAGGATTTCCGACCATTAGCAGGCATTAATTACCTTTGTTCCATTAATTACCTCTGTTCCATTAATAGCTGACATTAACTACCTCTGTTCCATTGTATCATTAATGACTCTCAACTGCTACAAAATCATCTTTTATTATGTATGGACCCTATTAGTCTTTATTGAAGCCGTTCATATCAGCAACTGAACTGAACATTGAGACTTGCGTTTCTGTTTCCTCGCTGCCATTGCTCTTAACTAGCTTCTACACATAAGGGAGCAGCTTGTAGACAAATACACGAAAGACCTACGTTTAAGGCTGAGCTGATATTCCCTTTTTTTTTGTTTTACGTTGAAATTGAATATGAAATATAATTATAAATACACAACCAAGGCAAGTCAGTCAATAATACGTAAGACAAAAGCAAAACAAATATTTTTTCTGTGCAGGCATTTGACAGACATCAGAGATAGGAACAAGCTAGAGACATCAGAACGACATCAGAAACAAGAAAATAGAAAATATCAAAATTCTAACAAAGAGATTTATTTACTACCGAAGCAGTTGCTACGTCTGTAATAGATGCATTGGTTGTGGTTGCCCAAAATAGCTAGAAAGGTTGGAGACGACATCATCACCTTCTGTGACCACTTGCGCTAATATCAGAGGAACTGGAACTGGGGAAGGAGATCCATTGCCAATCCAGCTCGTGAGATCGCTGAGCTTGAAGACCGTATCATTTGCTACTAAGGAGTTCAATCACTCACAGTCTATCCATAACAACGATAAGACTAAACAGAAATACCGTGAAGAGAGACAAAGTCATGGGCGGGACCTATATAATACATGGACTGGCAGATTTGAAATGTACTTCACATATGGGTGGGAGATGAAATAATAGCCATCAGATCTAGTTTTCAAAAGGAAATTATAGGCGGGATTTGAAATTATAGCCATCAGATTTGAAATTGGTTTCATTATAAAGGAAATTATAGGCGGGAGATTCAATTACGGATTAATATTTCATACTAGTTTTCAAAAGCCAAAATGGATACCGGTTGCTTCAATACTAGTAACTTCAATTACGCAACCTTAGAATTGAGTAATGGGGTAGTTGGCAACGAGTCTGGACCAACTCATTAATCATGAAGTACATAACCTGCATTTAACGCAACCTTAAATTGTTGAACGAGGTAGTTGGCAACCAAATGATATCAAACAATACCTCGGACTCAGGACAGCTAAAATCAGAGTTTAATGCCAGACCAGATAATTGGTTGGGGATTTGATGTGAAAACTAAATAGCTATTGTTATTAATGCCAACAACCAACGTAAATGGGCAGATAATAAAAATGAATACGAAAAAAATAAAAAAAAATTACAAAGCCCCTTCTCAAACGTCAAATAGCACATGGGAAAGTTGGCATCGGATATCCGCAAAGGGGAGCTTTTTTTCAAAAACTACAGGCCAAGAATATTGGGAAAAAATAGAGACCGGAAGGGGTACAATAGGAGCACAAGGTTCCTATTGTAACAGGTAATCATCTTATCCTATTTAAAATACATTTAAATTTTGTTATCTATGATTGCCTGCTACATTTTTATTGAGATTTATATGCATCGTGTATATGAAGACAGTGAATAGAAAAAAGTATATTGAACTATAAATTTGTCATTTGTATGAAAGAAAATAATGAATTATCAGATGAATAGAAATAGCTTGAGAAATTACTCCTACAAAATATTATTATCAAGTAAAAATTGTAGAAGATGCAGTTTTTTAGAATTAATTTCCGAATCCCACATGCAAAATAGAAGTAGATCAGGTATAGTAAAACATTTAGGAATAAAATATTCATACAGAACATATTGTGATATGTTCAAAAGGTGAGCAGTAGAGACCACTCAAAGAGACAAAATGAATTGGCACGAACCATCTTGTCTGGAGCATGCAAATGAAGAGTTAGAGAGAGAACAACTCACAGGCTCCCGAGAGCAAAATGGAGAACGAGGAGAAATGCGAGCAGAAGCTGGAGAAGGAGTAATGCAAGAAGAAGTGATGGCCAATAATGTTCAAGCTCGTTGCATAGATGATCTGGAATATGATCAAGTAATGAACATGACATTTGACTCAGTGGAAGATGCAGAGCTTTTCTATTTCGTGTATGCTAGAGCAATGGGTTTTGGCATAAGAAGAAGTGATCGAAAATATTATGATGATGGGAAGACACGTTATAGAAAATGGCTATGCTGTAGGGAGGGTGAACGTGAAGAGAGATGGAAAACAATGGAAAATCGAATGAGAGAAGCAAAAGTTGTGACTAGGGTGAAATGCAAAGCTTGCTTTCGAATCAAGTATGATCTGCCAAGCAGCAAATTTATAGTCACTGAATTTTTAAGGGAGCACAATCATACATTGGCAACGCCCTCAACTGCCATTTTTCTAAGAGCACATAGAAATGTTTCTGATGCAGACTATGCTCATGCATATGCATTGCGAAGGGTCGGGACAAGAACAAGCCAGATTATGAAGCTCTTTGCACTGGAGGCAGGTGGCTATGACAAAGTCAATTTTCAGAATAAAGATCTGTATAATAAAATAGAAAGGGAGCGCAAGAATGAGATTATACATGGTGATGCTGAGGGTGCAATCGCATATCTACAAGGAAAAAAGGACTTGGATAATGACTTCTGTTACAAGTATCATACAGATTCAGAAAATAGACTAATGCGTCTCTTCTGGGCAGATTCACAGTCCTTATACGATTACAAATGCTTTGGTGAGGTCCTAGTTTTTGATTCTACGTATAAGACGAATGACTACAACCAGCCATTGGTGGTGTTATGTGGAGTAAATAATCATTTCTCAACATGTATATTTGCGTGTTGTTTAGTATCCAATGAAGATGAGGAAGCATTTGACTGGGTCCTTCAAACATTAGTCGATGCAAATGGTGGGAAAAAGCCAATTTCTATTATAACAGATGGAGACCCAGCTATGAAAAAAGCCATCAAGAATATAATACCTGAGGCAAGGCATAGGCTCTGTTCCTGGCATCTTCAACGAAATGCAAAGTACAATGCAAACAAAGCTTTCATGAAGCGTTTCTCCTCGTGTATGCATAATAATTGGTCCCCTCAAAGATTTGAGCGCGAATGGGAAAAAGCCGTTATTGAGTGTGGCATCCAAGATAGTGAGTGGGTGAAATCAGTTTACAAAAAACGTGATAAATGGGCCACGGCATATCTTCGCGATCATTTCTTTGCAGGCATGAAAAGTACACAGAGATGTGAGAAAATGAATGACGTTTTAAAGATTCATTTGACAGGGGAGCTGAAATTGTTTGAGTTCATGCGGGCGTTCGATTTGGGAGTTGCTGCTATACGGCACGAAGAAAATAGGCTAATTGCCGAGACCGAACAAACAAGCCTTCTTCCAACCACTGATATGCCTTGGATAGAGGAGCATGCAGCAGAAATATATACTAGAAATATATTTTTGATAGTCTGAAATGCTATTAAAGGTCAAGGCATGTATAATAGATCTGACCTCATTGATGATGGGGTACACAAAATACATTTTGTTGAGCACTCACGGGAGAATGGCAGGTTCAGGGTCCAGCAAACCATTCTAGGTGGAATGCTTGCATGCTCTTGTATGATGTTTGAAACCCTTGGCCTTCCATGCACACATATGTTTAGAATTATGCTACTTGAAGGGATAGAAAGAATCCCTGATTTCCTCATAATGAAGAGATGGACACGAAAGGCAAGGGAAGAATTTCATCGAGGGGCTACAGTAGTGCAAAATGTAGCAGATGATGTGACTGAGCTTGCTAGGTATGGGAGATTGATGGCTGGTTGCAAGCCAATGTGTCTCTATGCCTCCAAGACGGATGTCGGATATGAACGCATACTGAGCATTATTGAACGAGAAACACCTGAAGTGAGAAAATTGAGTGAAAACAGAAGGCCTGCCGAACCTACATTACGTCAACCCCAACGTAACTATGGAGTTAAAGACCCAGAACGAGCAAGGTCAAAAGGCAGCCAAAGACAAGAACCTAGGAGAAGGTCAACTGGTATTCAGTGTGGAAAATGTGGGTGAGTGAACTACATTGAGCTTCTGCATAAAATATTATGTTTCATTCCTACCAAATTCTTGTATACACTTATTTTTGGTAGGAAACGTGATGGCCATAACAAAAGGACGTGTCCTTTGAACACCAGCAATTTAGATGATAACTGCTCTTATGAGGAAACAGACGAGCTTGGTAGTGATGAACAATTTGATGAAGTGCACTACCAACGAGCAGCATTTGGAGGAAGCAGCAGCAGTAAGCAAACAAGTTTCAATGATATATCCAGACTGCAAGCTTGTGGTGGAGTCGTTCACACAACTGATTACAATCAATCATTAATGGGTAGCTGGTCTATGCAGCTATCCACTCATATGTCTACTTCTACAGATGGTGGCAAGATGAATGTCGAAATGCAGGTAGAGTCAATCCTTATTTAACTTTTATTTCTGATGCGTTGTTGCCTACTACTGTAAGTTTATTCTATGAACATGTTGTGCTGTCATTGTAGCCAATGACTTGTGATTTTAGCTCAGAAACACCAACTTTCTGTGATGCTGGTAGTCATTCCCTCATTCCACGGTTTTCATCTAAGGTAAATGACTTACCCCCCCTGTTGAACTCATTGCACTACTTTGAATAATATTCTGTGTATTCCAAAAGAATGCACAAAAACACCAATAATGAAGTGGATAACATTGTGTACAGGCGAGTAGCAGTACTGGAATTCCTTATGTATGGAGCTCTGACAGTGGTTATGGCAACTAACTATCCGTGGCACAGGCATGAAACCTTACATCATATTTGTACGTGTACCAACTAGTTTTTTTTATAGATATTTCTTCTTGTCTTCTAAACATGGGATACACAAGGGTAACTTTTTTTATATACTTTTTAACCATGTAAATGTCCTTGCAGATTTTGAAGGCACCTCGGTATTAAGTTTATGGAGTTTGATGATGATATTTGTCTAATATCAGAGAGATGATCTGGCACCTCAAATATGCTGACTTGAATCTATTTACGATTGATATTTTGATTTGCATGTTTTACCAAAGAACTTAACTTTAAGCATGTACGTGGTGTGCTCATAAGCGTCTTTGCCAAAGAACTTAACTGGAGATACTCTCTGCTTGGTTGAAACTTTAGCTTATTGTTTCCACTTTTGATACGTCACGAAGACCTTGATTCTCTGTCTGCAGTGTATGACTTGTTGATATATGTTTCTTTTTTGTGTTTCTCTGCTGTGTGTATAAGAGTATGAATTTACCCAGGTTGGTCCAGGGTTCTTGAAACCAGCACAGGTCAAGCAAATATTTTCTGTTCGCTCCGCCCCTGTCCCGAGAAAAACTCTCTCCCTCTAGCTTCGTTCATAGTTTAGCTCATTGAACGCCAACTGGACCGGTAAGACCAGCTAAGAAAAGACGACCAACCCCTATCCTACTGATCTGAACTTAAAGAGCAAAAACTGAATATATGCCGAAATATGAGATTGGAAGCTTTTCTTATAGAAATATTGAACGAGTGGCAAACACGCAGGCTCACGCACGCTATGAACCCAGAAGGTTAAAGTGGGATGCGCCAACTTAGTAGAAAGTAATGAAATCACTGAAAAAAGCATGCATGCAATGCCATTATACCGAAAATACTGTATATATGATTATATTCTTGCTAAACTTCAGAACTTCATTTGCAGTAAGCTAAACTTGAAGGAATTTAAATGAAGATGACAAGGAAGAAGATTCAGGGGAAGTAATACCAATCATCATGACGTTTTTGGGATCTAACAGAATGATACTTACGGTGTTTACGGCTCCATAACCACTGCCAGAGAATGTGTTGTGAAAGCTGGAGCAGATAAGGTGTTTACTGTGTTTACGGTGGTTATGCATGGAGTAGATATGTTGTGAAAGCTGGTAAACCGAAACTCCATCTAGAATATGTTGCTAAACATAAATTCATGTTTGTGGGCCAAAGAATGCTTAGTTATTACGGTGGAAGATTGTTTTGAATGCCAATTGTATGGTTCTTAAAAAGGATCTATTACCACGTGCCATGTTCATACTTGAAGAATGTGTTATGCCAACGTGGCAGTTATGCGTTGTTATCCAGACGCTCATTTAATTTGCAATTTTTGCATGCATGCAGAGTAATTATCGTCATTAACATTGACTTTTATTTTGTATTTTTTGTTCAAGCATGCTTTGTAATTCGTGTTTAATGATCGGTCTTGAGATGCCAATATATGGATATAAGTAGTTGAATTAATACACGTGTAAACCAAAGTTAATATATATAATACACGGTAATGATATACTAGTTTGTAACAATGCTAAATCTAGTACGTGCCACGCGTGTACCGAAAACTAGTAGTGTTACTAATTCACATTCAATGAAATGAATACTAGTACTAATATACATGTAAATAAAATAAGGTAATAAAGATTAAAACTCCTAAGATGGAAGAAAATAAGGCAATAAAGATTAAACCTCCTAATATGATGATTCCTCTCCTTATGAATTTAATTAACTAATATAATATATTATTATATAATATTAATAAATTTATAATATATATTTATATAATATATTATACATGTGTATATAATATTTATAAATATAATTACATTTACATTTTTTATTATAAATATATTATATAATTATATATTAATTTTTAACAAGTAGTGGGACGAGCCTCGTTTCTAAAGGGGAATCAGACTTGGCTTTTATCCAATACCCTTCAACTTCAAATTACTAGGGAATTGGAAAACTCCAAATTTTTAGATATAATTCCAAAATTTCAATTCCGATAGTAGTAATCCAAACAATGATTATGAGATTTATTTCAATTCTCTATACCGAAACCTTTTTACCAAATACCACCTAATTATGCATTCAATCCGATAGTCGATAGATGTGGTGCTTGCTCATAAGAAAATGGTAATAGATATGGATCATTTCGTTATGAATTTCCTAATGCGTTGTAAGACTATAACGATAATAGCTAATTACAGCAATTAATCAGATAGTCGATTCCGATGATTATAACTAATTAAGTTTCTAATTTGATTATAGATTCCTTGGTGCTAACTCATAAGTACACAATTGTAGATATGGATCATCGGAATCGATGAATTCTCCAATTCGTTGTTGGGCTAAGATGATAACAACTCATTATAACAATTAAATTGGATAGTCAATTCCGACGATTATAACTAATTAAGTCTCTAATTTGATTATAGATTCCTTGGCGCTACCTCATAAGTAGACGATTGTATATATGGATCATCTTCCTATGAATTCCCCAATTCGTTGTTGGGCTAAGATGATAACAACTCATTATAACAATTAAATTGGACAGTCAATTCCGACGATTATAACTAATTAAAGGTCTAATCTATTGTCGATTCCTTGATGCTAGCTCATAAGATGGTGATAGATATGGATCATTGTTATCTCTCAATTTGTTGTTAGATCATTGTCAGATAGTGGATTCCAACGATTATAACTACTTAGGCCTATTTATACAACTATTAATAGGACTAATTTATATGATTGTTCATGGTCAACTAAGTTGATTAAAGTTACTAATATGATCTCATATATATCAATTAATTATAATAACTTAAAAGCGTGTGGTTTTCATGAAAGTTAAAGCACGCCATTTGCCAAAATGATAGAGCACGCCTTTAAACAAATCCAAGTTTTGATAACAAATCTCCCTCCTGACCAGTGGCACGCGGGCAATTTGGAAATATCTTAATCGTCAGAATACATTTCGCGCCATTGCATTTCTTTGGCGCCAACAGAAGGTTTTACTGACCATTTCGCGCCATTGTCAATTCCGAGAGGTCCCACAACAAATTATGTTGCCGGTTTTGCCCTTGATGCCTGGCCGGTTAACAAGTTTGCTTGTCCTTGCTTGCTTGGCCCACCACTATCCATTTGTCACCTTTATGTTGGTTTTCTACATTAGCAGAATACATTCGTTTCTTCATTTAAGAAAAAACCGTATTTTTACTGTGCGAAATACTACCAGGTACCGTCCCCACTTTCTCAAATAGTAAGTTGAAAGGGGATGATAGGTGCTTCCCACTTTCCCGAACGGTACAAAGAGTTCACAAAGAGGTCTAACTCGGAAATGGGGCAGGGACGGTCCTGAACGGTTAATGGTTATGATTTGGTTTTAAAAATTTGTGCGGTCGAGATTACAAGTTGTAACTCAATTTTCACGTCATGTATGGATCCCATAAAAATTTGCTTTAAAATTACGCGATATGCAAAAAAGATTACACGATGTACAAAAAAAGTTACGCGCAGTTGAAAATGACCAAAACCATCCGGGACAGTTGCATCTGCAACCGTCCGTGCCCCGAGTCCGTCTAACTCGCTAGTGTTATAGATTGGACCGCCCTTCGGGCGTGACAGGAAA